GTGCCTTGTCACCCACCGTGACTTGTCACCCGGCGACACCGCGACCTACACTTACGTCAAGCACTGAGCGGTACTAACATGTACCATCTATTGTATAATACCTTAGTATTAGATTATTACATGCATTTAATTAAGACATAAACATCACTCGGTACGTTTACATCAGAATATGACAGTATAGAAGAGTAAGGATGCTTGTACATTCTAGAATGTTATTATAGTAATTAGTGTGCAATGAAAATATTTTATCACTATGAAATTATATTAGAATCAATTGACTTGTATATAATAGTATGATTGGGTGCACATGAAATGTATATGTTGAATAGAAGTCGAGGGTACAAATAAATAAGTATATTACAGTATTAACAAAATTTAAATTTATCAAATAATTTATCTTGAGTTTTTGTGTTAAGCAATTAAAAAAAATCAATTTAATAACGTTTTCAAACTCAATTTCATTTTTACACTGTTTTGCTGTGTTAATGCAATAAAAGACAATTTATAAAATAATTTCGTTATGTTTTGTTTGTTTTTGTTAATAGTAAATTGAGCCTATCAAATTTCATGTTTTACAACTTTATTAATATTTCTTTTTAAAAACCTAATTTATCTTTTTAACTATGACTATTTTTAAAACTCTATTATTAATTTTTTAATGTTTTGAAATTTACAAAAGATGATGAAATACAATAGTTATGTGGTTTTAACCTAGGATAGGAAACAGTTTTCATGTTTTGTGCCAAGTATCTGGGGATTTTTTTTTAAATTTATACATTCTTCTATACTTGTTATATTTTGGTGTAAATGTGGTATATTTAAAATGCTTGATATTTAGATTATGTTTTTCGTAATTATGGTAATGAGAAACACAAGTTTTTTTTACCTTAGCCAGTATTTTTATGGTATGACTGATTGTGGTTCTTTTTTTATGTTTCATATGAAATGTGGAATGCGTTTTACAATTTTAATCCTTTGAATAATGTTATTCTAGTCTGAAGTGTTGACAGAATGAATGACATACATGTGTTAACTGCCCCTAGGCATAGAGTCTGATGAACAGTACCTAGAGAGAGAGATAGAGAGAAAGAGATAGATAGTAGTAGGCAGGGATTAGAGATCGATTCGATTGTTTGAAGTATTGTCCTCGTGTGGACAATTTATATTTTTTGTATGTTTTATTTATTGAAGACCTCAAGTTATAATTACCAATTATTTATAAAAGCAGTATATTTTTATTTATTTTGGCAAAAGTTATTTTAGAGCTCAACAAAACAGTTAGCTAATTGGTTATAGAGTGTTTGGCAACAGTGTGAATGTCATTTATAGTTCGGAAGATGTCGATATGAGAATGTGTGTGGTGTCGCTCTTTGAGCTCAGAGTTGTAG